AATAGAGTCTTAATATTGTTTTCTATATATGGCCATCTTAGAGGTCGTAAAATTCCACTTAATTAAAAACCCTGCATTGTATCGCAGAAATCCGACGTTACTTATATATAGGCTGATCTATTTTTCTCGAATAAAGAAAAGGAATTGAAAGAATTGAAAAAAAAAAAAAAAATTGAAAGAATTATAAAATAACAGTCATTGTTCTTGAAATAAAACAGAGTCTTGATATAGTTTTCTATATATGGCCAGAATTAAAGGTCGTATAATTCCACTTAATTAAAAACCCTGCATTGTATCGCAGAAATGCAACGTTACTTATTGGCCGACCCAATTTCCCCGAATGAAAAAAAGAAAATAGCAAAAGCGCATGCATCTGCATAGTCGACCACTTTCTCCGTAACATCTTGCACGATGGAGTAATGCAACAATAGTGGCGCGGATCACAATGGTTGCCGAGGAAACCGAGAAGTTTGACGGCGAACAGACGAATTGCAGGATCGAGGAAGAACACCGGCCATTGTTTTTGAATCTTATTGTTTCCACGGAGACAGAGTAACGACAGCATCGCGTGTTCGCTAGGATATTCGAGGATGCTAATGCTCCTGGATGCGCAACGATGTTTAGCCACAGTGAACGGGGCGCAAGAAATCTCGGTATCTGGCCGCCATCTTGACGTTGGACGATTTTCTCGCAATTAATAACACGTATCAGCCCCGGCCATCTCCGTAACACTCTTTTAAACGTTTCATCTCGTCCGAGAGGAAAGCCGCGATTAATCGCAGCTGTTCTCGAATTCGTTTCATTAATTAACGCGTGTAGATCCTGTCAATCTTCAGCGTGACCTACGCTCCGAGTAATTCATTTTAAATCATCAAATATGGTGTTCCCTAAACACCTCGTATAAAATATTCAAACGAGACATTCCTGCAAATTTCTGTCATAATCTCAATCCAAGATCTTCGAATCTTCCACGTCATCGAGACGCGTTTTACTACTTAACCCTTTGACTGCCAAATCACGTGTTTCGCTCAGGACACCACGGCAGAATTTTTATTACTCAAAGCCTATAATGGCAAAATAATAATAAATTGGTGATGGAACGCAACATTCTTACCCAATCGAGCTCTTATCTTATTGACAGTCACGAATGATCATCGTTGGCGCCTTGGTGACGATTGACAGTCCATTAACTGTCAACTTTCATTCAATTTTTACAACTGCAAGTAGTTCAAGCGCTCCAGTCACCAATGACCATCGTGGCGTTACAGGAAAAACCGTGATCGGTCATATATGACCAACGTGCTGTCAAAGTGTCAAGACCTAGTCCGTGCAATTAGACTGGGCGCGCAGCAAGGGTTGAAGACTCACCTTGAAAGTAACTCTTGGTCCGGAGGTAGCTGACGCTGAGTCTGAGGATGCTGAGCCGATCCAGCTTGCTGAGAATATTTTGCTCGAACGGAAGCAACGACGCCAGCGTGTCCAGTTCGGCGTTCAGTCGCTCCCGATGTCGCTTGCTGGGGTTCGACTTGGTCACCCCATCCTTTTGCGGCGGCTTCAGGCTGCAACGAGAAGAAGCAGAGGGATCACTGAGTACGAATCGTGCGAAACGATTTTCCCTTATCTACTCTGGAGTCTAGCACGTGGCCGTTGGGAGAGCAGGAAATTCCTGCGAGAAAAATCGGCGGGAGAAAAGAAGCGACGCGTCGCGTCGGTTTAATTAGCCGGTGTATCGGAGATAATCGGGCAGCCTGCGGTGTTCGCGTTCGACTGGTTACAGGAATTCCACGGCCACCTTCGAGGCTCGAACAACAGGCGGCCTACGAGCGAGGGATCTCGATAATTAAAGGCGACCACTATCCGAGGGTTGATTGACACGCGAGGAAACCCTGCGGACCGATATGCCCACTCAACAGTCCGGCATTCTTCGGGATAAGTATAGTTATTACAAAGTACTTCTGCCATCTGCACTCTCTCCGATTCTCCACCTTTTCCACCGACCCTCCGTCCTTTCCTGCTTTCGTCCCTTTCCCAACGAGATGCGTCGCAAGATTCGTAAATTGTTCGATAATAGCGACAAGTGGAAGCTGACTACCACGTGGTCGCCGGATGGGTCCTCACTGGCGTAGGCAGCACGCGAATATTTTCATCCTTCGGGGCCCAAAAATATTGGAACTCCATCGTAGGACATAGTATTCTTGGAACAGTAACTCCTCGACGAGGTACTCGCGAAAAGGTAAATGGTAGAATTTATAGCTCGTAGAAATAAAAATTGTTACCTAGACATGTTTGGTAATTACCTCGACTGTCAGTCATGGCGGTGGAAATTTACGTTTATGGAATTATCGCGGCGCCAACTCTTTTCTCCTAGGAATGAGAGGAATGCTGGAGTAGAGGAAACGAAGATGGCGCTGCCAGTGCGCGTATGCAAAATCAAGCGTTACGGATCGAGTACGGACTGTTTGTTTAATTGAACCGTTCTCCATGGGACAGGGACCCCATGCAGGACCAGCGCGGAACCGACGTCAAAGACACCGCGCCGCTGCCTCTGGCAGAGCTTCGGCCAGCCATAATTATTATTCCCGAGCGTATACGAATATTCCACGAAACGTAGTTCCCAAAACGAAGCTCTCGATCTCTCTCTCTAGAACTCTTCGAAACTCCTGAAAGAGAAATTTCTCATAGAAATCCCGACTATGAGCGAGATCCGTCGATTCTTTCGGCGAGAAGCCTCGCGAGTGGCGCGTAAAACGCGGTTTCCACGAAAAAAGGGAGCGAGATGGAGAGGAGAGGAAGAAAGGAGAGAAAGAAAGAGAGAAAGATGGGTGGATGGAAAAACGGCGATGGCCTTAATTAAAATGCTTAGGGGTTAGAAAGCGTGATGAATGAGATTGCCGGTGCCTAGGAGTGCGCGCGGCAGCAGCGAGAAGAACTCTATTAATTATTAGATGACACCGAATCCATTATCCGGGACGAGGAACGGACGGAGGTCCTCGAGGAATAGTCTCATTCAGATACCATTAGGACCCACGGCCGGCCTTTTGTTCTTTCGCGGCTGCTCGCGCGTTCCCGGCGTGCAAAACACGGTTAATTATTGGGACGAGGACGGGAGGAAAGGAGTGCCACGTGGGCTGTGCCACTTGCTTCTTCTGCCTCCGGTTTTTTACCGCCTTTTCTTTCCCTGCTCGCCGAGCTTTTCGAGCTCGAACGGCCAGGCAGTTTCTCGGACTGTCCTGAGCGCAGCCGTGTGGCCAGAGGGACGATTTGACTCGGTCGGGAAGAGGAAGCGGAATCCTTCGAATAAACCCGAGATTACCGACGCGATGTGCATTCAAGGAACTCGTCAAGGATACTCGCCGGCGACTCCGTGCAATTTAAAAAAAAAAAAAAAATTGAAAGAATTATAAAATAACAGTCATTGTTCTTGAAATAAAACAGAGTCTTGATATAGTTTTCTATATATGGCCATCTTAAAGGCCGTATAATTCCACTTAATTAAAGACTCTACATTGTATCGCAGAAATCTGACGTTATTTATATATGGGCCAATTTATTTTCCTCGAATAAAAAAAAGAATTAAAAGAATTGAAAGAATTGAAAGAATTATAAAATAATAGTCATTGTTCTTGAAACAAAATAGAGTCTTAATATTGTTTTCTATATATGGCCATCTTAGAGGTCGTAAAATTCCACTTAATTAAAAACCCTGCATTGTATCGCAGAAATCCGACGTTACTTATATATAGGCTGATCTATTTTTCTCGAATAAAGAAAAGGAATTGAAAGAATTGAAAAAAAAAAAAAAAATTGAAAGAATTATAAAATAACAGTCATTGTTCTTGAAATAAAACAGAGTCTTGATATAGTTTTCTATATATGGCCAGAATTAAAGGTCGTATAATTCCACTTAATTAAAAACCCTGCATTGTATCGCAGAAATGCAACGTTACTTATTGGCCGACCCAATTTCCCCGAATGAAAAAAAGAAAATAGCAAAAGCGCATGCATCTGCATAGTCGACCACTTTCTCCGTAACATCTTGCACGATGGAGTAATGCAACAATAGTGGCGCGGATCACAATGGTTGCCGAGGAAACCGAGAAGTTTGACGGCGAACAGACGAATTGCAGGATCGAGGAAGAACACCGGCCATTGTTTTTGAATCTTATTGTTTCCACGGAGACAGAGTAACGACAGCATCGCGTGTTCGCTAGGATATTCGAGGATGCTAATGCTCCTGGATGCGCAACGATGTTTAGCCACAGTGAACGGGGCGCAAGAAATCTCGGTATCTGGCCGCCATCTTGACGTTGGACGATTTTCTCGCAATTAATAACACGTATCAGCCCCGGCCATCTCCGTAACACTCTTTTAAACGTTTCATCTCGTCCGAGAGGAAAGCCGCGATTAATCGCAGCTGTTCTCGAATTCGTTTCATTAATTAACGCGTGTAGATCCTGTCAATCTTCAGCGTGACCTACGCTCCGAGTAATTCATTTTAAATCATCAAATATGGTGTTCCCTAAACACCTCGTATAAAATATTCAAACGAGACATTCCTGCAAATTTCTGTCATAATCTCAATCCAAGATCTTCGAATCTTCCACGTCATCGAGACGCGTTTTACTACTTAACCCTTTGACTGCCAAATCACGTGTTTCGCTCAGGACACCACGGCAGAATTTTTATTACTCAAAGCCTATAATGGCAAAATAATAATAAATTGGTGATGGAACGCAACATTCTTACCCAATCGAGCTCTTATCTTATTGACAGTCACGAATGATCATCGTTGGCGCCTTGGTGACGATTGACAGTCCATTAACTGTCAACTTTCATTCAATTTTTACAACTGCAAGTAGTTCAAGCGCTCCAGTCACCAATGACCATCGTGGCGTTACAGGAAAAACCGTGATCGGTCATATATGACCAACGTGCTGTCAAAGTGTCAAGACCTAGTCCGTGCAATTAGACTGGACGCGCAGCAAGGGTTGAAGACTCACCTTGAAAGTAACTCTTGGTCCGGAGGTAGCTGACGCTGAGTCTGAGGATGCTGAGCCGATCCAGCTTGCTGAGAATATTTTGCTCGAACGGAAGCAACGACGCCAGCGTGTCCAGTTCGGCGTTCAGTCGCTCCCGATGTCGCTTGCTGGGGTTCGACTTGGTCACCCCATCCTTTTGCGGCGGCTTCAGGCTGCAACGAGAAGAAGCAGAGGGATCACTGAGTACGAATCGTGCGAAACGATTTTCCCTTATCTACTCTGGAGTCTAGCACGTGGCCGTTGGGAGAGCAGGAAATTCCTGCGAGAAAAATCGGCGGGAGAAAAGAAGCGACGCGTCGCGTCGGTTTAATTAGCCGGTGTATCGGAGATAATCGGGCAGCCTGCGGTGTTCGCGTTCGACTGGTTACAGGAATTCCACGGCCACCTTCGAGGCTCGAACAACAGGCGGCCTACGAGCGAGGGATCTCGATAATTAAAGGCGACCACTATCCGAGGGTTGATTGACACGCGAGGAAACCCTGCGGACCGATATGCCCACTCAACAGTCCGGCATTCTTCGGGATAAGTATAGTTATTACAAAGTACTTCTGCCATCTGCACTCTCTCCGATTCTCCACCTTTTCCACCGACCCTCCGTCCTTTCCTGCTTTCGTCCCTTTCCCAACGAGATGCGTCGCAAGATTCGTAAATTGTTCGATAATAGCGACAAGTGGAAGCTGACTACCACGTGGTCGCCGGATGGGTCCTCACTGGCGTAGGCAGCACGCGAATATTTTCATCCTTCGGGGCCCAAAAATATTGGAACTCCATCGTAGGACATAGTATTCTTGGAACAGTAACTCCTCGACGAGGTACTCGCGAAAAGGTAAATGGTAGAATTTATAGCTCGTAGAAATAAAAATTGTTACCTAGACATGTTTGGTAATTACCTCGACTGTCAGTCATGGCGGTGGAAATTTACGTTTATGGAATTATCGCGGCGCCAACTCTTTTCTCCTAGGAATGAGAGGAATGCTGGAGTAGAGGAAACGAAGATGGCGCTGCCAGTGCGCGTATGCAAAATCAAGCGTTACGGATCGAGTACGGACTGTTTGTTTAATTGAACCGTTCTCCATGGGACAGGGACCCCATGCAGGACCAGCGCGGAACCGACGTCAAAGACACCGCGCCGCTGCCTCTGGCAGAGCTTCGGCCAGCCATAATTATTATTCCCGAGCGTATACGAATATTCCACGAAACGTAGTTCCCAAAACGAAGCTCTCGATCTCTCTCTCTAGAACTCTTCGAAACTCCTGAAAGAGAAATTTCTCATAGAAATCCCGACTATGAGCGAGATCCGTCGATTCTTTCGGCGAGAAGCCTCGCGAGTGGCGCGTAAAACGCGGTTTCCACGAAAAAAGGGAGCGAGATGGAGAGGAGAGGAAGAAAGGAGAGAAAGAAAGAGAGAAAGATGGGTGGATGGAAAAACGGCGATGGCCTTAATTAAAATGCTTAGGGGTTAGAAAGCGTGATGAATGAGATTGCCGGTGCCTAGGAGTGCGCGCGGCAGCAGCGAGAAGAACTCTATTAATTATTAGATGACACCGAATCCATTATCCGGGACGAGGAACGGACGGAGGTCCTCGAGGAATAGTCTCATTCAGATACCATTAGGACCCACGGCCGGCCTTTTGTTCTTTCGCGGCTGCTCGCGCGTTCCCGGCGTGCAAAACACGGTTAATTATTGGGACGAGGACGGGAGGAAAGGAGTGCCACGTGGGCTGTGCCACTTGCTTCTTCTGCCTCCGGTTTTTTACCGCCTTTTCTTTCCCTGCTCGCCGAGCTTTTCGAGCTCGAACGGCCAGGCAGTTTCTCGGACTGTCCTGAGCGCAGCCGTGTGGCCAGAGGGACGATTTGACTCGGTCGGGAAGAGGAAGCGGAATCCTTCGAATAAACCCGAGATTACCGACGCGATGTGCATTCAAGGAACTCGTCAAGGATACTCGCCGGCGACTCCGTGCAATTTGACCACGCTAATTGCAATCGTTAAGACTAACGACGCGCCGGGCGATCCGGCGAAACTTAGCCAAACAGCCGCGAGATGCCGAGCCGATAAGCGACGGTATCTTCGATTCGAGAAAGCTGGTAAATAAATATCGATATTTGACGAAACGTTGTAATCATCGGAACGCGAGGTGTCTTCCGTTTAATACGAATCGCGCACGAACCTGGCCGCGATCGTGCCGCCATCGCGATTCGATCGGCGTGCCTCGATCACCGGTGTCACGATGACGGACGTATAATGGAAAAGGAGGAAGGAAAATGGGAAAAAAAATTATAGATTTCGCGAAACAATGTCCCGGAGGGAACCGATGAACGAGACACGCGTTTACGTAACCGACTTTTGTTCTGCCGCAGCGTGGGAAGAAAGCAACGCGAACCGTGCACTTTGCGCGGCAGAAAACTGCATTTCAATGCGTCCTGGAACCGCGAGTCCGTCACCGGGGAACGAAACCGATGCGACAATGCCGCAATTAGAACGTAATTATCTCCCCTCGCGACCCTTCCGACGATTCCTGAACTTTGACCAGACTTTGCCCGAAAGCCTCCGCTCTTTCACGTCGAATCGGAAATCGAACGAAACGTTCCTTCCGTCGCGACGATCAAGCACCGCTGGATGATCAGCTTATTCGTAACGCCGGTAGTAATTGGTCCCCATTAACCTTGAATTACGGTAGCCGCGCCGGTGGTCGCCGCTAAATTTGGACCTGGATGTTCTCGCAGTGGTCGACTCGCATCTGACGATTATTTTAATTACGTTTACCGCAACAACCGGCTATCACGGTGCATAGATCGTAATTCTGCTGGCAATTAGTACCACAACGATTGCTTTATTTGCCGCGCCGCGGATCAGATACGTTTGCCCCTTGCCTAGGCAACTGGACTAGCAACGGCTGCAGCCCGATTCCTCTGCGGACGCCATCTAGAGCTATAGCGATCTATAACTCGGCTTTACGGGTTCAAACCAAGCATTGCGATCTATTATATTTCAGCTGCTTTGCGCATTGCGCGGCACTTGTCATTCCTCGTCATAAGGTATACTGATAGATATTGGATGCGAGCATTCTCATCTGTCATTGGAACACGCATGGTCCAATCAACGGAGAAGTCAACCCAATATTTGACTCCGTTATCAGCCATAGGAGAACACTCTGGTAAGGTACCCGATGTGAAAGTATTACTCCTGGGCCACTTCAGGTCTGGCAGGATACGAGGTCCAACCATTGGTCTCCATGGCCCATACAGATCCAAAGCAAACAAATATCGTGTCTTTTCTGAGAAGCTTTGTGCTATTGCACGGCTCGTGCCGTTCTTCGCCTTTGTAACTATACTGCCAGATGAAATTTGCGAATTTTATCAACATCGTACCAATGAAACCGACATGGTCCAATCAATGGGGAAGTCAACCCAATACTCGACTCTGTTGTCAATCGTAGGAGAACACTCCAAGAAGGTACCCAATAGAAGCGTATTGCTCTTGGGCCACTTCAGGTCTGATCAACCCAATATTTGACTCCGTTATCAGCCATAGGAGAACACTCTGGTAAGGTACCCGATGTGAAAGTATTACTCCTGGGCCACTTCAGGTCTGGCAGGATACGAGGTCCAACCATTGGTCTCCATGGCCCATACAGATCCAAAGCAAACAAATATCGTGTCTTTTCTGAGAAGCTTTGTGCTATTGCACGGCTCTTGCCGTTCTTCGCCTTTGTAACTATACTGCCAGATGAAATTTGCGAATTTTATCAACATCGTACCAATGAAACCGACATGATCCAACCAACGGAGAAGTCAACCCACGCTTGACCCTAGTGTCAACCGAAGGAATACGTCCGAGGAGGTACCCGATATTGGGGTATTTCTCTTGGGCCACTTCAGATCTGGCAGGATACGAGATCCAAATTATTGGTCTCCATGACACATACAAATCCAAATATTGTATCATTTCTGTGCAGCTTTGTGCTATTGCACGGCTCGTGCCGTTCCTAGCCTTCGTGACATATCAGGAGATGTGATTTGCGACTAATTCGCATCTGCCAATGAAACTGTCATGATCCAACCAACAGGGAAGTCAACCCACGCTTGACCCTAGTGTCAACCAAAGGAGTACGACCAGGGAGGTACTCGATATGAGCGTATTTTTCTTGGGCCACATCTCCATGGCTCATACAGATTCAAAGCAGACAAGTCATCGCTTGTCTATTGCTCCTTCGATTCCTCTTCGGTTACGACTAATCGCGAACGCCCCGTGGACCCCACGCGTCAGCTCTGTCATTGATCCTGCCTTCGATCCCTCTCCGATTACCCTGAACGAAACTACCCAAGGTCGGAGAAGAGATTTGTCGGCGCAGAAGCTGAGGGACCATCGAGTCGGATCGCCGACGATGCACGGTTCCGGCGTGACCAGCTGATAAGACGACAAGTGATTCGACCCCTACGAACAGCCCGCTAACACGGGGCTTCCCAACCTAGACCGATCGCGTAGATGCGTGTCGACTCCACCGACCGTAACACGGTTACGCACTCGAAATGTGCGCGCATACTTCAGCCCGCTGTTTAATGGCCGGCTGCGTTATCGCGATCGTTACCCTAAGGCTCTATGGCAATTTTCCATCCCTCTCCACGCTGCCACAGCCTTGCTTTCGATCGCGTTTTCCTGGAGAGGGACCTTCGAGCGGAGGAACACGGCCTTGGAGAGGCTACGAGGCTCACCCTGCGCTTCGTACGTATTATTTCTGGAATGTGTTTATTTTCGAGTCGCTAACGAGATTTTAGGGATTTTAATTTTCGGTTAGGCATGTCGTGACGTTTGATCGGGAATAAGTATAGCGTTTGAGAGTTGTATGTACAGAGTGATTCGTTGGCTAGTGGACTCGAAGGCTAGCATAAACGTTGCTAAATATCGCGGTGAGGTTGACCCCACGAGTGTGTGAGACGATTAGGCTTGTGTGGGTTCGAGTGTTAAGGTCTCCCGAATAGGTGGTTCTAGGTTTGAGTTTAATAAAGAGAGACACCCTGTATATGTATACGCGGATACCGAGAAATGTGCTTTCAGGGAAACCGTGTTAGTTGGTTGAACGAGAGGAAGGACAAATATGGACGGGGGGTTTGATTAGAATTAAATAACACGAATCAAAGGTGGCGCGATCGG